TACCCGACGGCAGAGAACTCCAACGAGTCCGAGGAACATGCTTTACCTGTCCCGAAGCCGACTTACCCCATCAACCGTTCGTCTCTCACCATAATCCAAGCGCGCCAGCCTACGCACCACTCGAGAAAGTATACAGCGACATCCTGTATACTCGCGAACAAGGACAAGGAGCATATAATTACGTGATTACTTTCATCGACGCCGCCACCTGTTACGTCTGGCATCTTAATCTCCCAAGTCGCGACATGGCCTTCGAAGCTTTCGTCGCCTGGCTACCTGTGGCAGAACGAGAATCAGGAGTAAGGCTGAAAAGCTTCCAGTCTGATGGAGGAGGGGAATATCAGTCCCAAAAAATCAAACAGTACCTCGCCGAACGAGGCATCAAGCGACTCATCTCGCTTCCCTACGCCCATCAACAGCAAGGCGTGGCAGAGCGGATGAACAGGACTCTCCAGAACACCATGCGCAAACTGTTGCGTGGCATGCGACTGCCCAGCCACCAGTGGCCTGAGGCGATGGACCACGCTGTCATGCTGCAACACTTGCTCTCGTCGTCATCACTTCCAAACAACGCATCACCGCACCTGCTGTGGACAGGAAAACTGGGCAACACAAAAATGTTACGAGTATTCGGGTGCATGGTACAGTACCGCCCGCACACTGCAAGAGCCGGAAGATTTTCTCAACGTGCACAGTGGGGACTGTCAAACATATATGATATAGCATGTGTAGGCTGTAGTGGGGTAGACATTATGGGGTACAGCTTTTCTAGGTTTTTATACTTGTACCCATCTCCTTTCTAGTCCACACCATTCCTCGTACTATTCTCACAGGGACTACACCTGGGCATCAAAAGGCATTACAACGCATGGAAGCTTTTTGACATCCACTCGAAGGAAACAGTAGCAGCACGTGATGTCATCTTCTACGAGCGACTCACACTTCAAACGTACCTGGACAACTTGGCAGCAAATCAAGACCTCACGGGCGGCTTCCGTGGCAACCGAGCCTTCGCTTCAGCAGCAGACGAAGCTGACTAGGACGAGCAAAACGTGGACAACGCATCCGAGGAAGCAGGACCACTCCCTTACTGCTTCGTGCCCATCCCGATGGATAACGAAAATCCTCGCGAAAGTGTCAACGCCGAAACTTACTTCGACTTCGCTGACACCGGTTACGTTACACCTCAACCGGTCGACACCAACATCTCTGAACGCATAGGACCGAATTTCTTACCAGACCCTGAAGCAGGAGACGAAGCAGCTTATCCAGAGGACACAAATCTTCCCCGCTACACACAGAGTGGCCTGCAGATACTGGGACTCGTCACCGCTGTCCACGGAGCAGCACCACCTAAGGAGCCTGCCACCATTCAGCAGGCTCTGGGGGGGGAACACAAAGAAAAATGGCGTGAGGCCATGGACAAAGAGTTAAAGGCGCTGCAAGAACGCAATACCTGGAAAGTCGTGCCCATCGAAGAAGCACGCAACAAGACCATTCTCACGGGAAAATGGGTTTTCCGCGTGAAAACAAAAGCCGACGGAACAATCGACAAATTCAAAGCACGCTGGGTTGTGCGTGGCTTCGACCAAGAGCAAGGGCGAGACTTCACGGAAACATTCGCCCCAGTAAGCCGACATACCTCAATACGGATTCTCCTCGCGATAGCATCCATGAACCGGAAGAAACTTCGGCAAATCGATGTCGCCAACGCCTTCCTTTACGCCCCCGTCGATGCTGAAATTTTCGTCGAACTCCTGCACAGGTCCAACGCAGGCCCAAACCAAGTCTGTCAGCTAGAGAAATCGCTGTACGGGATCAAGCAAGCCCCGAGACTGTGGCAGCAGCACCTTCACGCCCGCCTAATCCGCATCGGATTCCTTCAACTACCGCACGACCAAGGGATGTACCGATTGACGAAAAGTACCGACTACATTCTACTCATCGTCTACGTCGACGACCTCCTCTACATAGGCTCCACCGACGCCATAACGACATGGTTTGAAGGGGAGCTGCAGCAGGATCTCACCCTCACCGTCGCAACTACCGTGATACAGTACATGGGACCAAACATCCAAGACGGCGACAATGCAATATACCTCAGCGCTGAAAAATACGTGGATACTATCGCTAAAGGATTCGTACTCACTCCAACCGTCATCTCCACGCCATACCGCTACACCGACGGAAACCGAAAAGTTTCCGCTCTACTCAAGCGTGCCGGCATCCGCGACTACCAACGGAAGTTAGGCTGCCTACTCTTCGCAGCCGTCACCTGCCGACCGGATCTATCCTACTCAGCTAGCCAACTCGCTACCTACCTCAAGAAGCTTGAAGCAGAGCACATGCTCGAACTCGACCGAGCACTTCACTAACTCGCCAGCACTCCGACGATCGGACTAACCTACCACAAGACCGGAACTACGACACCTAAACTAATCGGTCATGTGGACGCCGATCACGCTGGAGACTCCGACAACAAACGATCTCGAACTGGCTACGTATACAGACTCGAACCTATCGGGCCTATCTCATGGCAGTCGAACAAGCAAGAGCTAATCGCTCTCTCCTCAGCAGAAGCAGAATATATCGCACTCTGCTCAGCCACCAAGGAAGGGCTATATCTTCGCGAATTACTGGAAGAAGCAAAATTGGCTCAGTTACCCAGCTTCTCCCTCTTCTGCGACAACCAATCGGCCATTCGCATAGCGAACAAGAATGGGTTCGCGAATCGAACGAAGCACATCGCCCTCCGGTACTTCTTCGTTAAAGACGAAATCCAGAAGGGAAGACTGGAACTATCCTACTGTCCCACATCTGAGATGGCAGCAGATTGCTTAACCAAGAAACTCGGAAAACAGAAGTTCGAGTACTGCACGCTGCTGACTGGGCAAGGATACGTCATCAGCAGCGACACTCCAGAAGCGAAGGGGGGTGTTGGAAATGTCAGAATCCCAACCACTAGACCATTGGGATAAAAGGGCTTGTTAAGTAGCGGGTCAGTGCGCCCATAACCCCCCAGGCCAACATGCCTGTAACCCTTCCCTAGGATCAATCGGGGATCACCAGTGGACCTCTGACACCCCCCCGCACTAGGATGTTCGAAGTGCACACACTGGGATTCGAACCCAAGACCTTCGCTCTGATACCATGTCAGAATCCCAACCACTAGACCATTGGGATAAAAGGGCTTGTTAAGTAGCGGGTCAGTGCGCCCATAACCCCCCAGGCCAACATGCCTGTAACCCTTCTCTAGGATCAATCGGGGATCACCAGTGGACCTCTGACAGGAAACAATAACTCAAACGCTTTTGAAGTATCAAACTATCGATACGAAACGAAGCAGACTACAGTGAAGCAACACGAGTCAACAGAAGCAACCGCTGGAGGTTACGCGAAGGTCAAAGGTCGCTGACCTTTGACTTGACGAAAACTACAGGGCGACAGCAAGGACACATAACTGACTCGTTATCGAGCAGTTGCCCGAGTCGGCACTGTATCGAACCGCAACAGCAAAACAGTTAAAGTAGAACCTTTTCATATTCCTTGTAATCATATAAAAAGCTTGTATCTCTTTGTTATTATCAACTCATCTTGTTCTCACACACTAGTACAAGGTGGTTCAAGCAACTCTGATATTACAACGCTTCCGCAATTACAACATCTACTTCAACACCTGATCTTAGCCTTGAAAAGATCTTAAGGGCTTTTCTCAGCCCAACATTGACCACATAGTGCAATCCTCGCACCCGTAACACTACGAAAAAAAGTGTCAGGAGAAAAAAGATTATGTAAAGAGTTTGCAAAAGCTGTATCTGTGTGCATGTATACCCGGCCCTACCCGGCTTCTTTAGCGCGAGCAGCACTTGGATTCTACAGGACCCTGCACACGGTGTGCTTTGCCCGCATCCACGGATCAAGGAATTCAGCCACTTCAGGATCCGGCTGTCCAGTTCACGGCTGTAAATGCATCAGCTCATGAAACCGCTGTAACACTTTAGAACAAGGCCTCCACTGTTCACCTCTAAAATCCGAAACCCGTGTGTGCATCAAGTTGCTGACTTGTGATAGATGGTGCAACATGATCGACCCCGTTGGTGATCCCCAAATTCGATAGTTCAGTTCACCACTCTTCACCGTAATTAAAGTTACTGGAACAGATAATACCGTGCACAACCAGACTTCCACAACCAGACTTTGGCAGGTCCTCCTCTGCTGAACCACACCGTCATGAGCATCACCCCTTTCTCCAATGAGCTCAGTTCGCGACCCTGATTAGCTTGCTATTCCTCTTAGATAAAGGACCTAAACTCGTCCTTAATGGAGCTCGTTCTCAGTTCCTTAGGCCCCAGAATCTTAGACCGCGAGTTAAGCCCTGATATTTTTTCGCTAGGCCGCCGAAAGCGCGGTGTGGGATGGCGATTTCAATGTCGACTGGGAAGGAGGTTCGGCTGGCCGTCATTGACTTCCTTTTCACGTACGGAAATAACAGACGACAAAATAACGTGTTTGGGAAGACACGAAGAAATATGACAGTAGATGCTAGCAGCTTTGAATTGATCAATTAGGCGACATGTTTTTACTCGCTTCGTCTACTACTAGCCGAAACAGGGCAGATGATCATCTGTTATCCGGATTTCCCTGGCATCATCCACTGTGTTTTTTTTTTTTTTTTTTTTTTTTTTTCGGTCTGCCAATTCTGCGGAATTCCCCTGATGATCAGAATCGTGTATGCGATAGGGGTGTCGTGTACGGGCGCCACGGTGGCAGTCCTCGCTCCATACGTCGCCTCGGACGATGAAACCTCCGTCGCTCTCCTCTTGGTAGGCAAATGTAACAATGTAGCGCTGTAAGAATGTCGCAATGTAGGAATGTAACGATGTAGGACAGTATCGACATGTTAATTCGCGCATAAGGACTGGTCTCTTAAAATGTCACACATTTGGTGGATCCAACGCTTCCACTGTGTAACGCTTTTGGAAGTCTAGCTCTCTCCCACAATGTGTTCACTCCTGTCCTGTGCTGCTGCTGCTGTTGCCGCCGCCGCCGCCGCCGCCGCCGCTGCTGCTGCTGCTGCTGCTGCAGCTGCTGCTGCTGCTGCTGCTGCTGCTGCTGCTGCTGCTGCTGCTGCTGCTGCTGCTGCTGCTGCTGCTGCTGCTGCTGCTGCTGCTGCTGCTGCTGCTGCTGCTGCTGCTGCTGCTTCTGATGCTGCTGCTCCCTCTCTCTCTCGAATAGACTCAGAAGCCACCTTTGTGTGCCTCTCCCGTCATGCCTCTCTCTCCGGCCTCTCTCTCTGGCCTCTCTCTCCGGCCTCTCCCTTCGTGTGCACCAGGCGATCACCGTCGTTCAAGTCGCGGGGTTCGGGGGAGCGGCTGATGCGTTGGGGGGGGCGTCGTACAACCCGCTGACGAACCTCATCAACTACCTCGCTGACGAGGACGACGAGACGGCGCTCAGCTTGCTCCTGCGCTTCCCCGCTCAGGTGAGCTGCTGCTTTCTCGCTCTTTTGTCACGCGCTTCTGGCAGTGCGATGCTGCACATGGCAAACCCTCATCAACTACCTCGCTGATGAGGAGAACGAGACGGTGCTCAGCTGGCTCCTGCGCTTTGCCGCCCAGGTGTGCAGCTTACGTGCTCCTGCGCTTTCCCAATCAGGTGCTGGTAGCACACACGTTCTTGCTGCCAGCGATGAGGCTGTTGAGTGAGTTTGTTGGGGAGGGGGGGGGGAGGCAGGGAGATGTCATTCAACCCGCTGACGAATCTCATCAACTACCTCGCTGACGAGGAGCACGAGACAGCGCTCGGCTTGCTCTTGCGCTTCGCCGCCCAGGTGCGCCGCATGCTTGCTCCTGCGCCTCCCCGCTCAGGTGCCGGCAGCTCACACACAGATGACTGGCAGCCTTTTTCTGAGGCGTCTCAAAAGTTTCCCATGCCTCCCCGCCTGCCAGGCCTCTGCCCCCTGCCCCGCCCAGATGCTGGCAGGGGCCAGAGCGCTGGCAGGAGACAGGTGGGCTGGCAGGCATGTGGGTATCCGTTGAGTGGGCTCTTTTTGAGAATTCTCAAAAATACCCTGCAGGGCTGGCAGGTGGGTATCCGTTGAGTGGGCTCTTTTTGAGAGTTCTCAAAATTACCCTGCAGGGCTGGCAGGCATGTGGGTATCCGTTGAGTGGGCTCTCAGCGTGCCTAGCTCACGACACTTTCTTTTAGGTGTTTTTCTAGAGTTGTCAGAAAACGACCACAAGAAGACAAGCTGGCAAGCATGGGCCGACTGAGCTGAGTGCGCTCTCACAGTGTCTGGATCACGACACATACCTCCCGGCGCCAAGTTGACTTTTGAATCGACTCAAATGTCAACTCTCACAGTGTTTGGATCACGACACATACCTCCCGGCACCGCATGCTCGGTCACCTTGCTGGCACGAAACTTCTTGTTCGAGCGCATCCATCCCTCAAGGTCCATCTGACTCCCTCTCCTGTCCCCTTGCCTCCCCTTCTCACTTCCCTCTCCTCTCTCCCATCCACGTCACCAGGCAGGTGGCATCGTCATAGGCACCATGCTGACGTGGGAGGTCGTCCCAGGGTGTCTATCCAGCTCCCTTCCTGTCCATCCCAACCCCCTTGTCCCCCTTCCTTCCACCCCCCCCTCCTCCCCCCCTTCCCCCCCCCTCCTTCTATCCCCTCCCCTCCCTCTCCCATCCACGTCATCAGGCAGGTGGCATGGTGATAGGAACAATGCTGACGTGGGAGTTCATTCCAGAGTCCCTCAAGCACACCGTCGACGGGCCCGCGCTGCCACCTGGCATCTCGGTATTTGCCGGCGCGACAGCGGAGTTTACACTCACGTTTCTGCTGAACCTGGTGGTGCTGTGGACACTGTTCCTGGGCCCCAGCAGCGACCTCTCAAAGGCATTCATCATGGTCTCGGCCACAATAGTCGCCATTGCTGCTGGCATGGGCTTCTCTGGCCCTTCCCTGAACCCCTTCTTTGTAAGCACCCTCCCTCTCTCCTGACTCACTCTAGAAATGCGCCAGCTGGATAAAACAAATGCCAGGGCAGCATTTCGTGGTTCACTCATCAGCTCCTGCCTTCATCTCATCCTTCCTTCTTCCTCATTTCCTTATTCCTTACCACTCCCCGCCTCCTAACTCCTCCCCACTCCCCTCCTGCTGTCGTTTGGGTGGGTGCCAATGTAGGAACAGGATATGTCAGCCAAGCACTTAATGCTCTACCAGGATGCTCCCTCCTGCATGTTTCTCTACATTGGATCAAGAGATGTCAGCACAGCGCTTCATAACCTACTGGGCTGCTCCACAGAACGTCACCTCATTCTTCCTTCCTCCTCATCACGTATTTTTTCTTCTTCTCCCCATTCCCCTCCTGCAGGTGTTTGGGTGATTGTAAACGTTGGATCAGAGTTGCCAGTGCAACACTTCATACTCCACTGGGCTGGCTCCCACCTTCATTTCAACCGTCCTTCCTCATCCCATGATTCCTCTCCTCCTTGCTCCTCCAGGCGTTCGGGTGGGTGTACACATTGGAGCAGAGTTGTCAGTGCAGCACCTCATAGTCTACTGGGCTGCTCCCATCACCTCTCATCCTTCCTCCTTCTATCGGGATTTCTGCCGCTCCTCACCTCCCCACTCGCCTCGCCACTGCCCTCCCCTCCTTCAGGAATTCGAGTGGGTGTGCACAGTGGATCAAGGGATGTCGGTGCAGCACTTCACACAGTCTACTAAACCACCTTCATCTCATACTTGCCTCCTCGTCTCTCAACCTCCCGTCACTCCCCACTCCCTTCCTCCAGGCGTTCGGGTGGGTGTACACATTGGATCAGGAGATGTCGGTGCAGCACTTCTTAGTCTACTGGGCTGCTCCCACTGCCGGTGCCGTGCTCGCTGCAGCCTTCTACCGGATCTACCTGAAACCACACAGGGCAGCACTAGAGGCGAAACGGTGGAAGGAGAGAGAAGGGAAGGAAGGGAAGGCTGAGGAGAGAGGGAGGGGAGAGGAGGAAGCACTGAGGGATAGCAGAGAAACAAAAGGGGTTGCCGCGGAGAGAGAGGGTGAGGGGTTGCGAAAACGGGTGGGTGCGGGGGGGCGGGAAGAGGAGAAGGGTAGGGAGAATATGAATAGTGGTGGTGGTGAAGGGAGAAACAAAGCGGAGTGACTCGGAGGTGCATGATGAAAGGGATTGGGCAAGGGAAGGAGGGAGGGAGCCAGAGTGTAAAATGCAGGAGTTAGGCTCAACATTTTTGTGTTGCTGGATGGCCAGAAGGGTCCTCTTGTAAAGAGATGTTCCATCCCAAATAGTGTAGCTTCACTACCAAGAGATGGTCAGTGTCACATTTTACGTGAATAGAGTGTAGCTTCACTGCCTTGCTTTGCATCCCATGCTATTGGCCATAGAGGCATGTTTCGAATCAACAAATGCACTAGTAGACGCATACAGATGGTCATGGAGCTGTCTCTGAGGGCATGTTCCTATGCTCTTATCAGGCAAACCTCTTGTCAGCCTTGCCTGGTAAAAGTAGTGAGAGTTTTTAGGTTTAGGGAATTTTCAGTGTGTTTTGACGCGAGCTTGATAAGAGGTTGGCCTGACAAGAGGCTGTAGGAACATGCTCTGAGTTGATTTTGATAGAGCAGGCTCTGTACAAGCTGGTTCATATTCTTTGCTCCATGCACTGATCTTAGCTAGTTGGTGTGCAGACATGCACATACTACTGTAATAATAATGACAGTCAAGCTGGGAAACATTATCCCCCACACCACATGCCAACGGAACAAATCTTGTTCAGAGCACATGCTGTGGAGTCAACTCCGTCAATGCCAACAAGGCATATCTCTCTTTGTTCGGTGCGGTTCGGTCGGATTGCAGTGATGCTCGAGAATCGCTGATTATCCCATGGAAAACTTACGAAACCGCATTGCACGCCCCACTGGACGAACATGTGTGGGTGGGTGGGACTGCGTCCCTGCATCATTTTCACACCTTATCAATCCGCCATTTCATTATTTTATGGCTTCATTCTTCTGCTAGTCCCAGCCCAGTTCAGCTCTTTCAACCCTCTTTCCACAGCAAAAGCAGAACTTTAGTAGAAGTCATTTACGGTCAAAAGCTTGGCTAAATTGTTCTGTGGTGTCACAGGCAAGTGGGAGTTTCAAATTTAAGACTTGCCAGAAACGCAAAAGCGTCCCCGCGTGCGCCGCGTGTCAAGGATCCGACTCATCATCGCAGCGTCGCCAGACCCAGCGATTCGCCATCATGGCGCTGCGACGCCGCGCTTCCTCGCGCTCGCCGGCGCCGCCACTCGCGCCGGACGCGCTAACGCTGCTGCCGCTGCTGCTGCTCATGCAAGCAGCGCTGATGCGTGGCTGTGAGGCGCAAGGCGGCGACACCGAACCCATTCCCATCCCTGGGTTCGGCACCCCCCAGAAAATCGCCATGGCTGAGAGTAAGCAGTACTTTCCTTGTCGCCATTGGGGTCTCCCTCCGGCCAGTGGTCTCAGCAATTCTGAGGTCCCAGAAAAATTGACTTGAAGATCGAGGGTTTTGTGTTTTAGCTGAAAGCCCCCCCTTCCACTAGTCGTCCAAAAGACATCTTCAACCCGCCCACCCGCTCCTTTCTCGTCGCGCAGAGGCGGCACTGCTGGCGTTCGCAGCGGCCTTCGGGAACCATCCAGTATTCGCGGAGTACGGCGGCTGGGCCAATGTGTTGCTGGGAATGACGTACGAGACAAGCAAGCCTCCTTCACCTCACAGAACAGTACAGGGTTTGAGTCGACTCATGGCTTTTTCCTAACCCACCCCCCCCAATCATACAGAGGCGGCACTGCTGGCGTTCGCAGCGGCCTTCGGGAACCATCCAATATTCGCCGAGTACGGCGGCTGGGCCAATGTGTCCTTGGGAATGACGTACGAGACAAGCAAGCCGTGCTTGCAGTTCTGGCAACTCATCACTTGCGACGAGGAAGGCCGAGTGAACGCCATGTGAGTGTGCTTGCTCTATTCATCTCTGGTGTTGTTTCGTTATCTTGTTTCTAAAACATACATAAATGTAGGCTCTGCACAAAACACGCCGCCCTGCACCCTTGAGTGACTGCAACCACATGCTCGCAGCAACCAAGAAAATGCAACCCACCCAGGTGACCCTCCATCAAGCTCCTCAGCCGAATCAGAAACTCCAGCCTTGGATCACAGCCTTTCCAGTCAGGGGCCAGCCCTTGTACAGCACTCTATGTTGCGAGTGTCGCAGTGATCAGCATTGCACATAGTCTCACCCGACAGTCACCAGCAAGCGCCTCTCATTCATGTGCCAACATCGCCTTTCTCCCTTTCATGCGCCCACGTGCGCATGCTTGCAGCTACATAGACAACGCATATATGGTGGCAAAGGACCCAGCCTTTGCCCGGGGACGCAAGCCAGGTCCCCTGCGAGGCATAATCCCGTGGGGCAAGATGCGAGCTCTTTCCAACCTCCTTCTCGTGAGCGTGGCGGGGAATGAAGTGTCCGGGCCCGTGCTGCCGCCCACCATCTTTCGATTCCCCAAGCTCAAGGAAATGTGAGTCTGCATGAATGTGAACATGGTTTATCTCGTGCTCCAGTATTTACATGTTTCCGTGTTTCCATTTTCGCATGTTATAGTGTCAAGGTTCCACGTTCGTCCCATGTTCCCATGTCCCCATGATCCCATGTTCCCATGTCCCCATGATCCCATGTTCCCATGTCCGCATGCTCCCATGCTCCTATGTGTATAACCGAAGTACAAGGCATGCCTCTCTTCTGTGTATGCTGATGAATGATGTGACCTGACCTGATGTGATGTGATGTGATGCGATGCGATGCGATGCGATGCGATGCTATGCGATGCGATGTGATGCTATGTGATGTGACGTGGTATGGCAATCGCTGCTGGTTATGTGCCATGTGCTGCATGTGCTGCATGTGCTGCATGTGCTGCATGTGCTGCATCTGCATGTGCTGCATGTGCTGCATGTGCTGCATGCTCGCAGCAACTTCATGGACAACAAGATGGTCGGACCCATCCCCAACACGCTCTCCGCTTTGAAGTCTCTCCAGAAGCTGTACGTTGTTGCTCCACTTTTGAGTCGACTCAAACACTTGTCCAACACGCAATCATGTTTCGGCTTCGCACCTACATCATACCCACTAGGCCTTCATCAAGGCAAGAGTTGGACAACAGGATGGTTGACCCCATCCCCAACACGCTCTCCTCTCTGAAACTCCGTCACAACCTCTACGCCTATCCTGTATGCCTGTATGCCTAGCCTCTGACATGAGCAGGAACCGCATCACAGGGCCCGCCCCCACGTGGCTCCACCATGCCACGCCACACCACGCCACACCACACCACACCACACCACCCCACCCCTCACCAACCTGACTTCTCAGGCCTCGCCAACCTAAAAGATTTCCCAACTCTCTTCCTCCCCACCCCAACCCAACACCCCCGCCTTTCTCCGCACACCACCCCTCCCCCACAGCGATGTGAGCATGAATCGCATCATGAGGCCCATCCCACGTGGCGTTGCCACCCTCACCAATTTGCCACCCTCATCAAAGAAATCCCTCCCCAACCCCTCCACTCTTCCCTCCTCTACAGTGATGTGAGCATGAATCGCATCACGGGGCCCATCCCACCTGGCGTTTCCACCCTCACCGCCCTCACATCGCTCGCTGTCTCTTACAACCAGATGACCGGCGCGCTGCTGCCAGGACTAGGCAACCTGCGACAGCTGAGAACACTGTGAGGCTCTTTGGTGTTGGTATGACTGCTTTACAGAGCCCATCCCACACGGCATAGCCACACTCGCCACCCTCAGCAACCTCACATCGGTAGAAGTCTCTCACAACCAGATGACCGGCACGCTGCTGCCAGGCCTTGGCAATCTGCGACAGGTGAGAACGCTGTGAGTGCGACACCTTGCTTCTAGTGTGTTCGTGACCATGAACCACATCACGGGACCACATCACGGGACCACATCACGGGACCACATCACGGGACCACATCACGGGACCCCTCCCACATGGCGTTGCCACACTCAGCAGCGCCCTGACATCGCTCTCTGTCTCCACACGGAGCGCTGCTGCCTGCGCTTGGCAATACGAGGCAGCTGAGGATACTGTGAGGCTCTTCGGTCGGTGCTGGTGTGACTTCTTCGAGTGTGATTGCTTCGACTTTGATTGCTTCGACTGTGATTGCTTCGACTGTGATTTCTTCGACTGTGATTGCTTCGACTGTGATTGCTTCGACTGTGATTGCTTCGACTGTGATTGCTTCGACTGTGATTGCTTCGACTGTGATTGTTTCGAGTGTGATTGCTTCGACAGTGATTGCTTCGACTGTGATTGCTTCGACTGTGATTGCTTCGACTGTGATTGCTTCGACTGTGATTGCTTCGACTGTGATTGCTTCGACTGTGATTGTTTCGAGTGTGATTGCTTCGAGTGTGATTGCTTCGACTGTGATTGCTTCGACTGTGATTGCTTCGACTGTGATTGCTTCGACTGTGATTGCTTCGACTGTGATTGCTTCGACTGTGATTGCTTCGACTGTGATTGCTTCGACTGTGATTGCTTCGACTGTGATTGCTTCGACTGTGATTGCTTCGACTGTGATTGCTTCGACTGTGATTGCTTCGACTGTGATTGCTTCGACTGTGATTGCTTCGACTGTGATTGCTTCGACTGGGATTGCTTCGACTGTGATTGCTTCGACTGTGATTGCTTCGACTGTGATTGCTTCGACTGTGATTGCTTCGACTGTGATTGCTTCGACTGTGATTGCTTCGACTGTGATTGCTTTGACTGTGATTGCTTCGACTGTGATTGCTTCGACTGTGATTGCTTCGACTGTGATTGCTTCGACTGTGATTGCTTCGACTGTGATTGCTTCGACTGTGATTGCTTCGACTGTGATTGCTTCGACTGTGATTTCTTCGACTGTGATTGCTTCGACTGTGATTTCTTCGACTGTGATTGCTTTGACTGTGGTTTCTTCGACTGTGATTGCTTCGATTGTGATTGCTTCGACTGTGATTGCTTCGACTGTGATTGCTTCGACTGTGATTGCTTCGACTCCACTCCACTCCAGCAAGCTTTGGTAATATCGAGGCGCCTCAAATGCTCCCTTTGCCGTCCCCCCATGCCATGCGCCTTTGGTGCTGTGCTGTGGAAGCAGGGACCTGGGGGGAAACAAGTTTCAGGGGGCCATGCCTGCAAGCTGGGGTAATCTCAAGAAGCTCAAGACGCTGTGAGTGTAAACTGCTGAATTACCTGGGCCTGATAAGCCCAAGTGCTCCTTGTGCCGCCTTGCTGATGTCACTGACGCCTTGCTGATGTCACTGCCGCCTCGCTGATGTCACTGCCGCCTTGCTGACGTCACTGCCGCCTTGCTGACGTCACTGCCGCCTTGCTGGTGTCACTGCCGCGTTGCTGAAATCGCCAGCAGTGCCACCACCATGCGTATAGGCATGAGTGCAGGATAAAAAAAAACTCCCAGACACCAACTTTGGAGGTGTCTGCAAGCTAAATCTGGGGGGGATGCCGACAGCATGGGGGAGCGGTGCGGACAGCATGGGAGAGGGGGGGGGGGGGAGTGTCGCGGAACCCAGTGAGGCGGCTGCTGCTGGGCAGCTGGGCAAGCAGCTGGGTGAGGCAGCCGCTGCTTGCCTTATGCTCGCTCCAACCCCTCCGCTGCTTGCCTTATGCTCGCTCCAACCCCTCCACTGCTTGCCTTATGCTCGCTCCAACCCCTCCGCTGCTTGCCTTATGCTCGCTCCAACCCCTCCGCTCCTTGCCTTTTGCTCGCTCCAACCCCTCCACTGCTTGCCTTATGCTCGCTCCAACCCCTCCGCTGCTTGCCTTATGCTTGCTCCAACCCCTCCGCTGCTTGCCTTATGCTCGCTCCAACCCCTCCGCTGCTTGCCTTATGCTCGCTCCAACCCCTCCGCTGCTTGCCTTATGCTCGCTCCAACCCCTCTGCTGCTTGCCTTAAGCTTGCTCCAACCCCTCCGCTGCTTGCCTTATGCTCGCTACAACCCCTCCGCGTCCCCCTTATTCTCCTTTCTTTCCTCTCCCCTCTCCTCTTTACAGCAATCTACAGAAGCTGAATTTGGGAGGGGCAGTGCCGGCAGCATGGGCGGGCATGGTGTATCTCAAGCACTTCGTGGCGTCGGCTACTCGCATGCGCGGCCGCTTCCCCTCTGTGCTGCTCAAGCTGCCACGCATCGCAGACATGTGAGTTGAGGCATTGTGTGTGAGGCTCTGTGCGTGGGGCTCTGTGCGTGGGGCTCTGTGCGTGGGGCTCTGTGCGTGGGGCTCTGTGCGTGGGGCTCTGTGCGTGGGGCTCTGTGCGTGGGGCTGTGCATGGGCGGGCATGGTGTCTATGAAGCACTTTGTGGCATCGGCTGCTCGCGTGCGCCGCCGCTTCCCCTCTGTGCTGCTCAAGCTGCCATGGTGGCACGCATCTCAAACATGGTGGCACTGCTGATTGTGCGTGGGGGATTGTGCGTGGGGGATTGTGCGTGGGGGGTTGTGCGTGGGGGGTTGTATGTGGGGGGTTGTGCGTGGGGGTTTGTGTGTGGGGGGTTGTGCGTGGGGGTTTGTGTGTGGGGGATTGTGCGTGGGGGTTTGTATGTGGGGGGTTGTGCGTGGGGGTTTGTGTGTGGGGGGTTGTGCGTGGGGGTTTGTGTGTGGGGGGTTGTGCGTGGGGGTTTGTGTGTGGGGGGTTGTGCGTGGGGGTTTGTGTGTGGGGGGTTGTGCGTGGGGGTTTGTGTGTGGGGGGTTGTGCGTGGGGGTTTGTGTGTGGGGGGTTGTGCGTGGGGGTTTGTGTGTGGGGGGTTGTGCGTGGGGGTTTGTGTGTGGGGGGTTGTGCGTGGGGGTTTGTGTGTGGGGGGTTGTGCGTGGGGGTTTGTGTGTGGGGGGTTGTGCGTGGGGGTTTGTGTGTGGGGGGTTGTGCGTGGGGGTTTGTGTGTGGGGGGTTGTGCGTGGAGGTTTGTGTGTGGGGGGTTGTGCGTGGGGGTTTGTGTGTGGGGGGTTGTGCGTGGGGGTTTGTGTGTGGGGGGTTGTGCGTGGGGGTTTGTGTGTGGGGGGTTGTGCGTGGGGGTTTGTGTGTGGGGGGTTGTGCGTGGGGGTTTGTGTGTGGGGGGTTGTGCGTGGGGGTTTGTGTGTGGGGGGTTGTGCGTGGGGGTTTGTGTGTGGGGGGTTGTGCGTGGGGGTTTGTGTGTGGGGGGTTGTGCGTGGGGGTTTGTGTGTGGGGGGTTGTGCGTGGGGGTTTGTGTGTGGGGGGTTGTGCGTGGGGGTTTGTGTGTGGGGGGTTGTGCGTGGGGGTTTGTGTGTGGGGGGTTGTGCGTGGGGGTTTGTGTGTGGGGGGTTGTGCGTGGGGGTTTGTGTGTGGGGGGTTGTGCGTGGGGGTTTGTGTGTGGGGGGTTGTGCGTGGGGGTTTGTGTGTGGGGGGTTGTGCGTGGGGGTTTGTGTGTGGGGGGTTGTGCGTGGGGGTTTGTGTGTGGAGGGTTGTGCGTGGGGGTTTGTGTGTGGGGGGTTGTGCGTGGGGGTTTGTGTGTGGGGGGTTGTGCGTGGGGGTTTGTGTGTGGGGGGTTGTGCGTGGGGGTTTGTGTGTGGGGGGTTGTGCGTGGGGGTTTGTGTGTGGGGGGTTGTGCGTGGGTGTTTGTGTGTGGGGGGTTGTGCGTGGGGGTTTGTGTGTGGGGGGTTGTGCGTGGGGGTTTGTGTGTGGGGGGTTGTGCGTGGGGGTTTGTGTGTGGGGGGTTGACGCTCACTTGCTGCACCTCCTCCTCTTCTTCCTCTGCATCCTTGGCCTCCTCTCCCCCATTCACAAGGGAAGATTGCCTTGTGGTGGTGCTGCCGCTGCTCAGCTCCAAGGGCAGCTCCACATGCTCCAAACCGGAACTCTTCACCTCCCCAAACCGCATGCCTATCTTCGCCTCATTCTCCGCCTTCCAATCCTTGTACATCAGATTCTCCATGAATTTGCAGTCCCTGCTCACCAAGAATTTCTTGGTGAATGGGTCCCAAAGAAGCCACCCCTTGCTGTTTTGAGCCATGCCCAAGTGCACAGCCCATATCGCCTTGGCACCGAGCTTGTTGTGCCGAAGATGCTTAGGCACGAGCGCCATGCTCATGCACCCGAACACCCGAAGCATATCCACCTTTGGCTTTCTTCCAATCCACTCCACATAGGGCACCCATTTGTCTGCTCCCACATGTGTCAAAGCTCTGTTCTTGGCCACACACGCACTCCGCACCGCATCAGGCCAGAAATAGTCGGGTAGCCCGGCTTCAATGGGCAACCCACGCGCCGTCTCCGTGATTCTCCGGTTCGCTCGCTCGGCGATGCCGTTCATTGCAGGGGAGTATGGCATGGTAAGGGAGTGCATTATGCCATTCTTCTTCAGCCACAATGAGAACTCCTTGCTCAGGAACTCTCCCCCTCGATCGGTGCGAATTGTCTTCACTAACCGGTCTTGTTGCCGCTCCACCATCGGCACCAATCGGTCTTCACCGTTTCAGCCACGTCACTCTTCTTGGACAGCACGTACACCCAAGTCATGCGAGTGTAGACGTCCACAATGGTGAGAAAGTACTCAGCTCCAGCAGCTCCAAGCTTCAGGGGGCCCACCACGTCCATCACCACCTCATCAAGTGGTGCCTTAGCCGTTGCCTCCGAACTAGAGAACGGGTAACGGGTGAACTTGGCTTGAATGCACGTCGGGCAGCCAAGTACCTCATCGAGCTCCTCCTTCACACGTATGCCAGCAACCATCTCATTCTTCACTAGCTGCTGCAAGATGGGCAGGGCCACATGCCCCATTCGCCGATGCAAGGTGAGCCAATCACACTCCCCCGTAGCCGATGTCGGATTGGAGAATGCCGCACTCGCAATAGTGCCCCACATGTTCTCCCCGTACTCCTCCTCCGCTGCTGCCTTGGGGTTCTCCTCACCCTTGTGCTGCTTCTGAGCTGCTGCACCACTCTCCTCGTGTTCACCGAGCTTGCTGGTCCCTCCAATATTGCACTTCTTGGACTTAATCTCCTTAGCGCGACCATTCGCGCCATCGCCGCTACCAACCGCTTCACCCTTGGTGCTGATGCTTGCTGCCACTTGCCTTTCCTTAGGCATGGGTACCACAGGGATCTGCCACATCTCGTTGTAGACATCCCTATCCTCGTGAAGGTCCCAAAGAATCTGCTCGCCAAGCCTCGCGGTGTAGGTCTTAGCTCCCTTCGAGCTCGTGTCCATGCCGGCCTTTTGCAACCGCCGCACGGAAATCAGGCTCGCAGCAAAGTTGGGCACCCAAAGCACGTTCTTGAGGCCCACCATCTTCCCATCAGCACCCTTGAACATGGCCTTGCCCATGCCTTTCACCTCTGCTCGCTGCCCCAAAGCCGATGTCACATGCTTCACCGGTGACGGCTCAAGTTCGGTGAGCAAGTCCGCACGAGGTGTCATGTTATAGGTAGCGCCGCTATCGATCACCCAATAGTCCAGGGAGTGTAGTGTCACCTTCCCCACAGCTGCTGGCTTCTCAAAGCCTTCATCCTTCTCTGGACCAGCCGGTGCTTGTGTGGACACGAAGAAGAATTGACCCGGAAAGCGATCGTCCCTCGACTCGCTCTCGTTGCCGGCACTCTTCATACTTGCAGCACCACCTTCGCGACCGCCACGGCCTCCACGGCCTCTTCCTCTCCCTCCTCCTGATCCTCTACCCTCTTGGCCTTGAGCAGGAGTCCATCCATCAGGGAGTTTGTAGCAATCGCGCCACATATGTCCGCTTTTGTGACAATAGTGGCACTCGCCGTCGAATCGGCCACGACCGCGTTCGTAGCTCTTGTTGTCGCTGCCGTATCCACCACTCCCGCGGCCTCCACTGAAGTTGTTGCTGCCAAATCTGCTTCCCCCTCGTCCTCTGCCCCTTCCACGGCCATACCCTTGGCCGATGCTTGCTGCCCCGGCGCCATCCGCACTCGCCAACTCACGGCGGCGGAAGTCCTCTTGAAGGATCGCTCGCTTCACGTCTTCAAGCGAGAGGCGGGGCAAGTCACGATTGAGGTTGATGATGAGCGAGAACCATGACTCTGGGAGTAAGGCCAGCAACTTGGTCTTCTTTTGGAGCTCACTGTAGTTCAAATCAGCTCCCTCAAGCCGCGTCAACAAGTCGAAGAATTTATGCACCCCTTCTTCAACCGCTTCGTCTTCTTCAATTCGTAGTGCCGCCATTTGCCGTTCCAACACCACCGCTACCGCCGCTGTTGCAGAAGCATGTACACCCTTGAGAGCAGCCCATGCCTTTGGTCCCTTCTCTGGTTCACGCTGGATTGGCTTGATGTGACGGATCTGGCTGCTCCCCAACGCTTGCCCAAGTAGGAGATAGCCTTGTGCGCTCTTCCGCACCCACGGGCTCTTCTCCGGGTCGTTCTCGGGGCGCTTCTCCGTTCCTTCCATCACCTCCAGCAGGTCATAATGGTCAAAGATGTTCTCCATCTTGAAGGACCATTCAGCAAAGTTGTCGCCGTTGAACTTGTCAAGCCCAAACACCCTAGGCTCATCCCTAGGTGGGCCAAGACTTGGTTGCATGGGCGCCATGGCTGAATCACGGGGCTGGCCTTGAGCTTGGGATTCTCCACTGCCACCAGCACCTCTGCCACCCCTTTCCTCAGGTCCAGACATTGTCGAAACTGCTCCAAGGGGCTCTGATACCACTTGTTATAGTCACAATAGGCTTGTATGTGCCTAAAACGAAAGATAGAGTGCACAGTCGGATTTCTGCACAGCGGCTTCAAACGTTGATAGCGTTCTGCTCACAGCTGCAAACGACTTGCTAAAAATTGGATCTGAAGCGTCTTGATGTCGCCTACACGAGGCAAGTTGAATCACACGATTTCATCAAGGATTGACGACGCAACATTGGTTTGAACGAACGGCACTATGGCAGCCACTATAGTCTTAGAACACAAGATAGGAAGAGTTACGAGTTGGGAATGACTCCCAGCTCCTACGAACCCCAAGAGCCGAGGTACAGTTATTCGGAACAGTGCCACACTGTCTCCAACCACGAAGGGTCTCGAAACTACCCTCCACAAGAGCCTACACCAAGAGAAATGTTACACTACACAAAGTAATGCAACTATTCTCACTATCTTAAAGTTTACCCTTTTGGAGAGCTTCGAAATCACTTGAGTCTTGAAACCAAGGCTCTGGTTGTTCAAGGTAAATTCTTCCTTGAGTTCTT